AGTTTAAATTTGCTGAGTCCAGAAATGTTTTCAGGCCTGTAAAAATCGGTGGGGAAAAAAATAGAAATTACATCATGTCACTGAGGATGATTATAAGAAGTAGCTAAAATCCGTGAATAGGCACAGCTTTCATAAGATACATGTTATAATGAAAACATTTTGAAATCATAGTTGTATACATTTTTATCTTAAATCAACAGTGAAAAGTGACAACTATGATTGAAATATGTAAATTTTAAATGTAGTTTTTGTTTTTAATTTTTTAAGGAAAACAGAACACAGAGGGAATCTAAAAGACATTAAAAATTATAAGGATTGAGAAAATAAATGATTAGAAACCATGAACACTGAGTCATAAACAGAAAGATACATAAAGTAGTAAGTTTAAAATTTTCCTTAGAGTAACTTTCTTCAAACTGTTTCATGAGGGAGGGGTCTATTACTCAATGATTTGGCAGAGAACTTACAAACTCAAAAAATAGTAAAGGATTAATCTATAGATAGATTTAAGAAGAGTTTAAATAAATTAATGGATATTCGATTAAGAAAGGAATGCTTCTAATTCCTTTAATGATCTAGCCTTCATAAATTTGTCACATTTTAAGGAAAATAATGTTCTCCCAAAAATGTCATTTTCTCTCCAAACTGCCCTTTGATGTTACCTTTAGATATAAATTACCGGGCTGGATCCCAGGTCTGTTGGTGCAATCACTCATGAAATGTATGTTCTCACAGTCTAGGACAGCTTTGAGATAATAGCTGAATAGGCAGTTAAATAAGGGTCAGTCACGTAGGACAGTTTTATTCCAACGCATCCAGGACTTATCCTGTCTCTGACATCGTCTTATACTAGTTTCCTCACCTTCACTTCATTCCATTTACATTAGTTTTATAAATTTTCTTTACTATCAAACTTGCTCTTGCCCCAGGGTATTGGCACTTGCTCTTCTCACAGCTTAGAACACTCTTCCTCCATGTGGCTCAGCTCATTGTCTCCTCTTCAGAGAGGACTTCTTTCACCATACTATTTAAACTTTCAAACTTTCCAGTCCCTCCCTATCATACTATCCTATCATATTTTCAGATCACATATCACTATCTGAAATTATTTGTTTATTGTTTTTCCCTACCACTAGAATGAAAACAGGGGCATTCTCTGTCTTGTTCTCTATTGTACCTCTAACTCTGAGTACAGTGCCCACTAGATGGTAGATACAAAGTGAATATATTTTAAATGAATGGCCAAATCCCAGGGGTAGTGCATGTAAAAAAGGAGCAAATGATCAAAGAAAGAGAGAAAACTTTTTTTTTTAAGAAATAAAACTCTAACATTGTGGAATTTTACACATTAACAAACTATTGGAAGAGGAATGTTGGATATTATAGGCTCCCTGGTGCTCCTTAAGTCAACCTAAGTAGCAGTGACCTACTCTGTACCACTAAGCACTGCTTCCTGCCATGGGAGCCACGACTTCAGAATCATAAACATAGTTTCATTATTAAAGCTATAATCAAGGCAGATATTTTTGACTAAACATACTTTGTTTATAATTTATGAGTATTCCTCCCTAGCTCTGGATGTTAATTTTGTGGCATGCAAACACACAAACACACTCTAATACATTTAGATACTATACTAATACATAATGGTAATGTAATGCATTTATATACAGAACCTACAGTAATGTTGCAAATACTAAACTTTGAATTTTTGTCATCTCCAGAAATCAAAGACTTAGTATCAGAAAATTAGTTTTTACATATTCTTCAAGAGAGAGATGTTTTATCTTAATTAGGTTTTCTTGACATTAGAGTTGGTAATTGGAATTTTAAACTATAAACCAACACAAAGTTTTTATGCAGCCATATTTATATTTTAAATGCTGATATTTGCCAGTAAGTTAATCAAAAGGGACTGTATCTCATCATTTTTGTATCCCCATATTTGTGATAGTAGGTGCCCGATAAATATTTGTTGAATAAATGATCACTACTTGATTGGCCTAAAATTTTAGACAATTTTGCATTAAAGTGAAATAAACTTATTAAATAGTAACTTTAGGATAATAATAATTTCAAGGTCCATATTTTAGGAAAGGAATAATATTTAATATAGAAAAAATGTTAAATGAGAGGAACTTTAGAGGAGCAAGGGCTTTTTTCCCCCCTTGCAAGGAATATGCCAAAATTCAAAGAATGGCACTTTAAGATCCAGACATCTGCATAGTGGTGCAGTTGCACTGGTGCAATCAAGTATGAGTTGTAATGGTGATAGGGTATTTGGTTAGCTCTTGGCACCTGAGGTATAGGGTAAATGACTCTTCTATAGTAACTTAGGCAAATGACAGCAAAGCAGAAATTCAAGCCCAGGTTCGTTTGTATACAAAGCACTTCTCTGTTTTATCCTAGTTGTTGCTATTAAAGAAGAACAAAAACAGACAAGCTGGAAAATATCAGTTTGAGATATTATAGAAGCATGTACACCGTGACTTTTTCTTCCCCTTTGGCCTATTTATGCCTCACTTCTTCTTAAGACTGTGAGGGATATACTTCATTGAGTTTTCTTTTGTTTAATTTCACACTGGCGTTTTCCTCTCTTAAATACTTGGAGAAAATATACATAAATTAGTAAAATTAACATGTAATCTTAGGCTTTCAGCAGATTTTACTCAAGGATAGGAAAAAAATTTTCAGGGTGAAGAAGAAATTGAACTAGAGATAAGAGCTCACCTCAGCAGGGTAGTTTTCTAATTCTTATCCTTTAAATGATACATAAGGGTATGTCTAAATGTTTCTTGATTTTTATTATTTTCTTTTATTACTATAGTTGTGTCATATACTCATATATTATCAGAACCAAATTAAAGCAGAAATGATGACTTTTCAATATTGAGTCAAAAGTTGTTGATATGTAAATAATTCTTCCCATCCCTGCAAAGCAAGCTGTTTCACATTCTCCCAGGGTTATGGGGGCCAGCTGGGTAGCCAGCTTCCAGAATCTTCACTCCCTACACCTACCTCCTACCACACACCAGTAATTATGAAAAAATCCAGTGTCTTTTCTATAATTACTCCCATTTGCAGTATTAGTCTTGCAGTAGATTGTTGACCAGCTTCCATGCTTCAGTGACTCATAGATTACTTTCTGAGCATATTGTCTAGAAAACTGATGATAATTTTTCTATTTTTCAAATGAATGCAAGAAAATCTTTCCTTTATTATTGGAATACAGGTTTGTATCAAGGTCCCTGGGTGGCACAAACGATTAAGCACTCGACTTCTAGCCGATAGGTTGGTGGTTCAAACCCACCCAGAGGCACCTCGGAAGACAGGCCTGACAATCTGCTTCCAAAAGGTCACAGCCTTGAAAACCCTGTGGATCACAGTTCTATTCTGACACGCATGGGGCCACCATGAGTTGAAATTGACTTGATGGCAACTAACAAGATTTATATCAAAGTATGAAACTGAGAAAAATGAAATTGTTTTTAATTCAAAGCTAATGAAAATAGCAATCTCTATTAGAAAATTTAACCATTATTAGAAAAATCTTATTAGGTTTTTCATAAAATGAGAGAGTTTATTTTAAAGGGCCACTTGGCAATGGGTGATGTAATTTTTGCCATTTTTCTAAAAATTTCCTACTTGTCTAATTTCTTTTTGAAGGCAAGAGTAGAGTAAATTAGAGATGAATGCTTTTGGAAATGTTTTCCTTACGTTGTATGGCTGCCTTAAAGCATATTTTCATTGCGAGGTGGCATATTCTTTTAAAATGAGCCCACTAATTTTTCTTGCCTGCTTTTTCTTTCCTATAACATGCAAACTCATGCCTTCTTTGACAGCTGAGATAAGTCTGATTTTGTATAGTTGCGTTAAAGGTGGCCCTGAATAGTAAAACACATTCAAAACCATGGTAGATGAAAATTTTTCAGTCCTAAAAATATGTCCCATAAATGGTATAATTTAATTATACCCCAGATGTTTCACCTAAAATTCCTTTTCTGTCTTTTCCTTTTTGCTCTGTCCTCACTTTTTATCGATCCATCGGCTGACAGTGTCTTTACATCCAAAATGCAAAGCAGACAAATGGGCATCTCAGGGAAGAACATGACTAAAAGCACCAGCATCAGTGGAGACATGTGCTCACTAGAGAAGAACGATGGCAGCCAGTCTGACACTGCGGTGGGCGCCTTGGGCACTGGCAGCAAAAAGCGGCGCTCTAGCATTGGGGCCAAAATGGTAGCTATTGTTGGTCTCTCACGGAAAAGTCGCAGCGCTTCTCAACTCAGCCAAACGGGTAGGAATCTTTATGCTACTTTTGACTTCATATTTGTGCTGTCATTAAAATACATATTCTTTTCTCTTACTTATTTTATTGCAGTAATGTGTGGATGATAACATGTTCCAGAGGGAAAGGGGTGTTTTAAACAAGTGAATCTTTCTGAAACATAAAAAGGGCTTTATTTTCTAGTGATGACTGCACCTGCTTCAAAGTGAACCCTGGCCGCTATTTTTGTTTGAAATGTGTATGTCTTTTCTCCTTAGGGAGGAGTTAGGCTGTGGTGCCCCTGATTCTCAGTTGCTGGTACTTTGTAAAGACCCTCTGATCTGTGGGATATTTGCTTTTCTTTAGGTAACGTTCTTTGTAAATTTCAGTTATTTTCCTCAAGTTGGAACCAGGCAAATTAATTTTTCATTCTTAGCAAGTGACCGTGATGAAGATGACACTTCATGTTTTGTACAAATAATACAGCTCATTTATTGCTGACAACCTAACTTCCTTTTCAGTTTGTAAGCAACATTTACCAGTAATATCAATTTTCTCACAGCAGTTTTTATTTCCCTGTTAAAACTTCAAGCAGCAATATTCTCTAGCAGCAAGGATGGAGGAATTTTCTGCTGACAGTGAAGATATTCAGAGCTTTGCTACTTTAGAATTCAGTTTCTAAATCACATCTGCAAAAATAAATTACATACAACACTCCTACTCAGAAAAGCCACTGTTAGCAATTAAGAAATTTGTGAGTCAAAGCAATGTCTTTTTTCAAATGCATGTTGATAATTAAACATTAAATCCCTGGAATCTTGGAAATAATAGCATATCTTCTACTTAGCAAACAAGCAAAAGCATATAATATGGTGTTTCTTTTACAGCAAATAAATTATAGGCAACTGGGTTAAATCTAATTTATGCTTGAATGCTAGAGTTCTTGTACACAGAAGTCAAGACATAAATCTACAACCCAAAAGAATTTAAGAGTACACTAATTCCTGGACCCGGCCAATCGATTTTTCAAACTGTAACAGTGATCTTGGAATTTCAGTCTTATAATATTATATTATCGATGTTATTCTTTATATCCTGGTTGTAACTCACTATATTTAATGTGATTATTGTTGTAGGAATTTTTCATTTGGTGCTTTAAAATGCTGTTTTGTATTTTTAACATAGAAACTAGATTTCATTTATGGACATAAGAATCATATTTAAATTATGTTCTTTAACATTGCTGAAATTTATACTTAGTTGTGCCAATATGATAGATGTTGGCCTTTTGAAATAGAATTTTATATTTTTGTGTTTCTCTAGCTGTTAGAACTGTATTTATTGCGTTTTCTCTTTAACATTTTCAAGCATTAACAACCTAAAAACAGACATTAATGAGACTACAGGTTAGAGAACATGTGCTATTAAGCTAAATAATCAATTCCATTCAGTTTTCTTTAATAACTATTGCACTTATCATGTGACAGGCACATAGAGAACAAAGATGAGTGAGAAATAATTTAGAACTCTGAGTTGCTTGCTGTCTAGCAGGAGAAAAATATGTAAATAGAAAGCTTCAATGTCATATGTCAGAGGTAAAGCTAGAATTACATAGAATTCTGGCTGCTCAAAGTAAGGCCGCTTGGCCCAGCATAGAATTCTAGTAGTTGATTCCTGAGAATGATACCTGATCTGAGGCCCTAAAGAAGATTAACTGCTAACCAGGTAAAGGTGATTGAAAACCTGATGCAAATAGAAACCAACATGAACAGAGGCATGGAGGCATGGCATGTACAGAAATAATAAGCAATTACATGGAATTTTAACATAAAATGTTGAAGAGAATGTGGCTAAAGATAAGTAAAGATCAGGTCATGGACAGTCGTTTAGATCACATTCTAGTGGGGCTGCAATAAGGAAGTAAACATAGCTAGTAAAGAGCATTTTAGGGCTAATTAGCAAAGTAGTATAATAGTTCAGACAAGAGATAAGATCCTATACTAAGTCGTTTGTAATAAAGATAGAGAGGGGTAATAAAGATTCAGGAAATTTCTAAAGAGCAAAATTAGGACAACGTAGTAACTGGCTAGGGTTCCTGGGTGGCACAGACGGTTTGTGATCAATTGCTAACCAAAGGTTGGTGGTTCAAAATCTACCCAGCGGCACCATGGAAAAAAGGCTTGGTGATCTGCTTCCATAAGGATTACAGTCAAGAAAACCCTGTGGAGAAGTTCTGCCCTGCAACACATGGAGTTGCCATGAGTTGGAATCTGCATCGGGTTTAATTTTTTTTGTTGTAGTGACTGATTGTATGTGAGCTAGTGAAGAAGAGAGAATTCTAAGATTTACTCCCATATTTCTGACTTGTAGCACTAAGCTGATAGTAGTGTCACCAATGAAAGTATAAAAGAAGCTGTAGGTTGGTAGAAGAGGGAGAGTGGTGATTCCTTCAATTTAAGACATTTTGAATTTGAGATGTTTGTGGAATATTCCAGGTGAAAATATCAAGAACATATTTAAATAAACACTGCTGAAGATAGTGCCAGACCAAGGACATAAATCTGGGAGTTACAAAATTTAGGTGATACTTAAAGCCATGAACACAGCTGTGGTTGCCCAAGACCACTACAGGTAGAAGAGCATTAGGCCCAGACAGTACTCTGGGAAAGATTCACATTTTAGATGTAGGCAGAGGAAGAGGAGCCTATGAAGTAGACCAGGAAGGAATGATCATGAAGAAAGGACAAAACCTACTAGAAAGTAGTGTCGCAGAAGAGTATAAAAGATTTCAAGAAGAGAATGGTCAATGTTTCTCAATGATTATTTTCATGTCTTTATAGTTTTAGCATAAATATCCCATATATCTTTCTTTGAAAACATTTTTGTTACAAAATTATAGATCTGTTGATGATAACTGAGACTCTGTAACAACATAGACTTGGTTTTTATGTATGAGTAGTTATAAATTTTTCTTTTCAAAAGTATGATGGCTGATTTAAGAACTATAGTCTTGTTCTTTGTTATATCGTATAACCCCTTCCTATATATACCGTGAGCCCTGGTAACACAGTAGTTAAGAGCTCAGCTGTTAACCAAAAAGCCGGTAGTTCAAATCCACCAGCCATTCCTTGAAAACCATATGGGACAGTTCTACTCTGTTCTATAGGGTCACTATGAGTCGAAATCAACTCAGTGGCAAAGGGTTTATACGTAGCATAGCAGAAAACAAAGCATTGCTCTTTGTTGTTGTGTTCATTTGTAGTGACATTATGACGATTAAGATATTAATCATTTTTTAAATATGCATATATTTCTAATGCCTACCCACCTAAAAGCTTTGACCTACTGACAGTGGGATTCAGAATATCTCTCATTTTAAAGCCTGAGTTTAACTATGGGATTGTTTTACAATTACTAGACTCCAAATTTTCAATGGGCTTCTAAATTGTATATTTGTGTGTATATGTGTGTGTGTTTCAAGTATGATTTTTATGTTTTCTCTTCTTAAGAAAAAATGCAGTCACAGGCTCCCACAGTATTTAAAACTAAAATCTTCAAATTTAATAATCTAAACTACTCAATCATATGATAACCTTATCTAAAGTAATGAAGTAGTTTTATGATGTTGGATCTTATGATAGCTCCTTTGTTTAGACATAAATATATAGGATGTATTGAGAACCTGACCTAAAACCAAGAAATACCATGTATATTTTCAACTAGTATGTTTGTATTTTCAAACATTACTTTAGTATTCTCTTGATTTTCCTGGATTCTGTATAGAGATCTATGTGTAATTAAGTTACATAGTTATCAGTTAATGAATGATACACTATAATGTTTTCAATTTAGTAAGATGGTATTTATCATTTATAAAAATAAATATCATTGTACCACTATGGATTTCAATATCAGACAAGACTACTTCCCTGCTTTGTGAACAATAGAAAACTCAGTAAAATGGGATCTTCCTAAAGAATAGTGAAATGATTCTGGATAATATAAGTGATCATATGTAAACAATAATCGGCAAAGGGAAAATCAGTTATAGATGTATGTTGACCAATACACACAGCAACTAAATCATAGCTCTCTTCCTCTGCCCTGCTGTTTTATCGACTCCTTTGCCTGTTAATTGGAAACTCACCTTTAAAGTCACCATTTAAAAAGAATAAAATATGATTTGGTAGGCATCATAAACTAGTAGAAATCATATAGAAGGAGTAAGGAGATTTGTATTGTATTTCTTACCCTAGGTTATGTAGGTTATTAAGTATGGCTTCTTTTAAAACCTACCCAACTTATCTAAATCATAGCATGTTCTTCTGACAATGGAATTAACATTTCTGTCCTAACAGATTTTTTATAAAGATAATATTTAAAAATATATGAGAAAGTACTTTGAAAACTTAAAGTCACTTTGTACATGTAAGACATCAATAGCCAATTCAGCCTCATGGGGAAATCAAAGGTTCTATTTTAGACCTGTTGATTATAAGATGCCTTTTAGACATATAAATGAAGTTGTTATATGGTCAGTTAGATATATGAATATTGAGCTCAGAAGGTCAAGGCTAAGGATATGATTTGAGAGTAATCAGCAGGTTGTGTTTAAAGCCATGGAATTGGATGAGACTACTTAGGGTAAATTGAACAAGTTGAATCAAGAAGAGAAATAAGACTAGCCTGGGACACTACAACATTTAGAGGTCAGGAAGAGGAAGAGAATCTATTAAAGGAGACTTAAGAGAGAGCAGCCATTACAAGAAGAAGAAGGTGGTATTTTGGAAACCAACAAAAGAAAGTATTTTAAGAATGAGGACATGATCAACTGTGTCAGGTGCTTCTGAGAAGTCAAGAAAAATGAAGACTGAGAATTTACCATTGGATTTAGCAAGATGGAAGAATTTGGTAAACCTTGACAAACCTTACAGTGGTAGACAAAGCCTGCTTGGAACAGGTTAAAGAAAATGGGAGGTGAAGTAGAGTCAGGGAGAATAACTACAAGAGTAAGAATTAAAAACAAAAAG